CGTGTGTATGTATATGTATAAATACATATATGTATATATCTGTGTGTATGTATACGTGTGTATTGTATTATATATATATACATACAAATACATATACAGACATATGTGTATTATATATATGTATATGTATGTGTGTATGCATGTATGTATATGTATATGTATGTGTGTATATGTGTGTGTATGTGTGTGTATGTGTGTGTATATGTATGAGTATAAATATATATGTGTGTATTTATACACACACACATACATACATACACACTGTAAAAACTACTTAAAACAATATATACCATAATAGACATTTATCTATATTAACTATAATAGAATTGTTAATTGTATTAAGCTATTATGCGCACAGATATAATATTAACAATATTATTCAGAGGCCAGCCTCTTTCCTAACTTAGCAGATGGGCTTTGTAGTCCCACATCGATAGGAGGGAGCTTTAACCCCCCCTTCCCATTTCCAACCGTGAGGGGAAGGGCCCTGCGTCCCCGCACCCCCGCCCGAGCCCCGGCCCTTCCCTCACCTCGGGGGCGCTGTTTCCGCAGCCGTTTTCGTCCGACTCCCGAGGAAGCAGCGGCGGCGGCGGCGGCTGGCTCAGCATCGGCTCCTGGGCCGGCGGGGCCGCCATCTTGCCGAGGGAACTACCCTTCCCACAAAGCCCCGCGGGCCCTCCGGCGGCGTTACGCACGCACGCACGTGCGACGCCAAAGCCGCGTCCGGCTTTCTCCTTCGGCCCCGCCCCCTGCGAGCTAAGCCTGCGTTTCCCGTGGGGCCCTGCGGCGGCGCGTTGCCAAGGGAGCGAGGGACGCGGCGCATGCGTCAAGGGGGGCGATGCGATGGACGGCTCCTTCCGGCCGCGTTTCTTCACGCCGCGGGAGGTGGCGGTGCACAACCGGCCGTGTGACCTCTGGGTCTCCTACCTGGGGCGGGTGTACGACCTCAGCCCCCTGGCCGAGGAGTACAGGGGTAAGGCGGGCGGGGGAGGGGTGAGCTTCCGGGGCCGGGGCTTCCCAAGGGGAGCCTCCAGGTGGAGAAGCAGTCTACCTGAAGGGAGGAGGAGGAGGAGGAAGGGTGGTTATCCGAGACGGGGGTAGAAAGAAGGGCAGTCAGGGAAGAAAGCTGCCTGAGCAGGGGTTGGACTAGATGACCTCCAAGGTCCCTTCCAATTCTTCTTCTTCTTCTTCTTCTTCTTCTTCTTCTTCTTCTTCTTCTCCTTCTCCTCCTTCTCCTCTCCTCCTCCTCTTCTAATGGCCAGTCAAATGAATCCGTTCTTCTGAACGATCCTTTCTCTTTCTTTCTTTCTTTCTTTTTCTTTCTTTCTCTCTCTCTCTCTCTTTCTTCCTTCCTTCTCCTCCTCCTCTTATGGCCAGTAAAATTTATTCGTTCTTCTGAACGATCCTTCCTTAAAAGGAACGTTCTAGAGATGTTCTACAGATGCGATACAATGTGTGTGTTGTTGTTTTTGTTATTATTATTATTGCAGTTGGAGGGCTTGGCATGGCGCGGGGCAGTCAAAAAAGTCAAGATGGCGGCCCCATCCATGCATTGAAAGCCCTCTTCTCTATTAATGTGCACTGCTTCCATAAACACATGTCCATTATCTAACAAGAACAATAAAAACTCTAAAGGGCAGAATGGATGGACCCCTAGGTCCTTTTCTGCAGTTCCCTATGTTTCTTATGGTGCGGTGGTGGGCGCCATTTTGACTCTTTTGACCCCCTGCCACTCAGGAGTGGGAGGAAAGGGTCCTGGTTAAGCGGCCTCTCTCCCTCTCTGCGCAGGGGACCTGCTCATGAAGCCTCTCCTGGAAGTGGCGGGAAGAGACATCAGCCACTGGTTCAACCCTAGAACCAAAGACGTGAGTGTCCGTCTGTCCGTCCGGGGACACCAAGCTGGGGGTGGTCAGCCTTCAGGCCCTCTGGATATAAAACCGTGCCCTTTTGCAAGACCCAGGAAGTGGGAATGCCCGCAGGTAGACCGGTCACTTGGTGATCGTTGGAAGTTATGGCAGAATCTGAAAAAAGGGAGTGGATTCAAAGTTTCGGCGTCTGTGCTCTCCACCCCATACTGCCACGTGGCCACAAGCAGGGGTCTTCCAACTTGGCCCTTTGATGACTTGTGGACTTCAACTCCCAGAATTCCTCAGCCAGAGTGCCTGGCTGAGGAATTCTGGGAGTTGAAGTCCATAAGTCATCAAAGGGCCAAGTTGGAAGAACCCTGCTTATGGACTTCAACTCCCAGAATTCCTCAGCCGGCGTGAGGGAACTAGGACCCTTTGATGACTTGTGGACTTCAACTCCCAGAATTCCTCAGCCAGCTTGAGGGAACTATGACCCTTTGATGACTTGTGGACTTCAACTCCCAGAATTCCTCAGCCAGCATGAGGGAACTATGACCCTTTGATGACTTGTGGACTTCAACTCCCAGAATTCCTCAGTCAGCGTGCCTGGCTGAGGAATTCTGGGAGTTGAAGTCCATAAGTCATCAAAGGGCCAAGTTCGAAGAACCCTGCTTGTGGACTTCAACTCCCAGAATTCCTCAGCTGGCGTGAGGGAACTATGACCCTTTGATGACTTGTGGACCTCAACTCCCAGAATTCCTCAGCCAGCATGAGGGAATTATAACCCTTTGAGGACTTGTGGACGTCAACTCCCAGAATTCCTCAGCTAGTGTGCCTGACTGAGGAATTCTGGGAGTTGAAGTCCACAAGTCATCAAAGGGCCAAGCTTGAAGACCCCTGCTTATGGACTTCAACTCCCAGAATTCCTCAGCCAGCGTGAGGGAACTATGACCCTTTGATGACGAGGAATTCTGGGAGTTAAAAGTCCACAAGTCCTCAAAGGGCCAAGTTTGAAGGCTCCTGGTCTATGGTGATTCTCGGTCATCCAGGTCCCAAAGGGGCTTTTCCAAAAGGCAACTGGGCTTTGTTTCCCCTTTTGAAAAAGCTCCTTTGGGTCCCCCCATCCCTCTCCTGGGTTATCGTAGCGATGTGTTTATTTCTCTTCTGGGTTCAGTGACGGTTGTAAAATGAGGACTGCCTGAACCCCACAGTGCCCGTTTCTTTTTCTGGCTGAGAATTCGAGATCTTCCGATCTTCAGCCAGTGTTTGAAAGACTTCGTTTCTTGACGTAGGGCTGAATGAAGGAAAATGACTCTTCCTTTGAGGAGGAAAGATTTCCGCTGATTTGGAGCCCTCTGTAGGCTGGCATTCGGTGGACTGGTGCTTTGGAGGGAACCATCCTTGGTTGATGATGGTTGAATCTGGGCCTTGTTCCTTTCAGATACAGACACACATCGATCCCCTGACCAGGTGCCTCAAGTACTACACACCTCAGGGCCGCTTTGTGCACATCCCGCCGCCTCTTCCCCGCTCGGACTGGGCCAACGATTTCGGGGTGCCCTGGTGGAAAAACCCCGTGTACGAAATAGGCATCTTGTCGGCTAAAACCCGGCACATTCGGATCATCAACACTCTGACTTCTCAGGAGCAGACCCTCGAGGTGAGTCCTGCCCATCCCCGAGACCCTCGGAGCAACCCATCTCCTTCCCTGAGGGTATTCACACAACAGGCTCGAGTAGGGCCGTGGTTAGGTTTAGGCTGGAAATTGGAGGAGTGTCAGTTTGGTGTGCTGGCAAAGGCACCAGGGTAGAAACCAGGAGACTGGGAGTTCTAGTCCCGCCTTAGACACGAAAGCCAGCTGGGTGACTCTGGGCCAATCGCCAGGAGACGGTGAGTTCTAGTCCCGCCTTAGGCACGAAAGCCGGCTGGGTGACTCTGGGCCAATCGCCAGGAGACGGTGAGTTCTAGTCCCGCCTTAGGCACGAAAGCCGGCTGGGTGACTCTGGGCCAATCGCCAGGAGACGGTGAGTTCTAGTCCCGCCTTAGGCAGGAAAGCCGGCTGGCTGACTTTGGGCCAATCACCAGGAGACGGTGAGTTTTAGTCCCGCCTGAGGCATGAAAGCCAGCTAGGTGACTTTGGGCCAATCACGAGGAGACGGTGAGTTCTAGTCCCGCCTTAGACATGAAAGCCACCTGGGAAACTTTGGGCCAATCGCCAGGAGACTCTGAGTTGTAACGTGGCCTTAGGCACAAAGCCATTTGGGTGACCTTGTGCCAGCCATCTTCTCTCAGCCCTAGGAAGGAGGCAATGGCAAACCACTTCCCAGAATGCTGGCAAGGACACTTGCAGAGACTTGTCTTGGCAATCTTCAAGAACCATAGATGATTAAACAAAGGTGAAAAAAAACCCTATAGCTTTATGTGCTTAGGGTTAACTATGATTAGGTCTATGTTGGGTCCAGTCCAATATACAGAAACCGAGTTAGAGTCACCTTGTGGCCCTGTGGAAGTCGAGCAAAGTTGACCATCTTGACCCCAGGAGGGGGGGGAAGGGGCTCAAGGGTGTCTCCCGCTGTGGGTCCCGTGGACAACCGTGGCTCCGTCCGGCAGGTCTGCTCAGAAGAAACCATGTGGGAGATCTTGAGGCGCTACCTGCCCTACAACGCCCACGCCGCCAGTTACACGTGGAAGTACCACGGCACCGTCCTGGACATGGAGAAGAACCTTCACAACAACGACATTCCCGACGAAGACGAGGAGTTCTACCAGCTCAACATGGACGCCGACGCCTTCACCTCTGCCATTTTGCTCTACTTCAACGACGACCTCACCGAGCTCTAGAAACTCGCCTAGTTTCCCTCCCAACCGAAAGCCCCCAGTTAGGTGCCCCTTCCCCTCGCCAGCAATTGCAGGACGCCGAAGTTATCTTTAGGGACGGCGGCTCACACCGTTCTCTCCATGAGCAGACTTGGTGGAAAGGGAGATGCATCCTGAATTACGACGGGTCCCTAAAATACGACTTCTGGGTCTTGTGAACGTCCAGCTGAATCTTTAAGGGCTCTCCTTGCTGTCGTTTGCTGCTGCGGCCACTAGAGGTCAGTCGTGGCTCGCTGTGCAGTCATTTGGAAGCTCCGCCGTTGTTCTTAACATGATTTTTACAAATAATTGCATTTTATTATCCTGCAGCTAGGTTTTTTTTTTTATTATCCTGGAGCTAGGAGAGCAGCTTTGCTCCGGGGCTTGCCCACTCATTTGGAGAGGGACCCACCCAATTTTATATCTTCACTTTTAAACTGGGGTCCTCTGGCCTGGAGGGACCTGGATGAACATCCTGCTGAATCCGAAAGGATATGATGATTAAGTAATCTCGGAGCGGCTATTTGCTCCTGCTTCAGCTATTTCAAAGGCTTGTTTGGAGGGCAAAGCGGTCCGAGGGTTGAGGAATGAGATAGGCAGCTGAGAATCCCCTTGGAGGATAAGTGGGATAAAAATGCAACAGGATGTTTGCATTGGAAAGACATCGTCCGTCAGGTTTAACTTTTATTTTATTATTATTTTTAAATCATCTTGACACATGCCTCGAAAAGAGTAAATCTTGAATAAAGACGGTCTTTGCATCGTGTAACTTCAGGTGCTAAGGTAAAAAAAAAAAAAGTTGACTATCAGTGTAGTATGTTCTCTGGGTGCTGCAATCTTGTTTAGCGAGGGTGATTTTGTAAGAACTCTGCCCAGGATTGCAGCCAAAACTCTTTGTTTTCGTAAACCGGTATTTCCCAAAGAAAATACGTTAACAGCAAAGTCGTATCCAGAGTCAAGCTGGATCCTTGGTGTGTTTGGGAACACGGACGCACGCTGGTACCCGAGTGGTTTGCCGTTGTTTTCTTCTGGAATGTCTGTGTGTTTCCTGGTGGTCTTCTATCCTAGATTAGCGAGATCCTTGTTTGGAAATCGGACAGAATCGCTTAGATGGCGCCGTTTACCAGAGTACAAAAAAAAATCACTTTAAATTTATTTATAATGTTTATATAGCTGCCCATCTTTCAGCCAACTCTGGGCGCCTTCCAATCAAAATTTAAAAGACACACAAAATCATTAAAATGCAACCGGTTGAAAGATAAAACAAAACAGACCCTGATGGTTTCAGGTGCATTTGTGGGAAAAGCTAGGTGTTTCAAATGTCCATTTCCTCCGATTGTAGCCGTGCGGAAAGCAGTAATTCTTCCTTCTATCTCTCGTAAATCATCTGTTTCTGACATCAAGCATGACAGGCTACGTGGTGCTTTTTATGATCCGTTCCCAGGATTCACTGTATGTCAGGCAGCATTTCAGAGCTTCCTTTTAAAAAGCCCGAAGTGTTTTCTTAAAAAAAAAAAAAATTACAGGTCTTCCTCGAATTATGACTGCAATTGAGTCCAAAATTGCTGTGGTTGAGCAGGACAGTTGTGAAGTACGTTTTGCCCCGTGTTACGGCTTTTCTTGTTGCAGTTGTTAAGTGAATCGCTGCCCTTGTTAAATTAGGGACATGATGGTTAAGCGAACCTAGCTTCCTGATTAAAAGTCACAAGGTCACAAAAGGAGATTGCGTGAGCCCGGGACGCTGCCACCGTCAGAAGTATGAGTCGGTTGCCAAGCCTCCCAATTTTCGGTGTGGTCGTCAACTTCGAATGATCGCTAAGGGAATGGTTGTAAGTCGAGGACTACCTGTAACGATTCTGCATTTAAAGTACAGATTAAAACCGTTAAAAGAGATTCTAGTCCAGTGTTTCTCAACACAGGTTGAGATCCATAGTGATCTCAACCTCTGATATGAAGGGATTCTGTGGCTTGTCTTGTCTTTGTCAGAGCCCTCACGTGTTTTAAAACAGCGGCTCCCGTAAGACCCTTCTGCTGATCCAGAGGTTGGAGCCAGGGGTGGCCCCTTGATGGCCGGCGGACCTCAACTCCCAGAATTCCTGAGCCAGGCAGCCATGTTCGTAAAGGGCCCTAGTTGCCCACCCCTGGCTTAGAGGTTGGCAATCGGCCTCGAGTGGCTATTGAGATCGAAGGTTCAGATGCACGCAGACCACCGGCCCCACGAGACAGGCAGGGGGGCAACGTCTGGGGAGCACGTCGAAGGGACAACCGCCGCCAAGAGAGGAGAAAACACTCAAGGAGGATTAAGTCAGCCCTGGGGGACCAGGGAGTTTAACCCTCCTCTCTAAGGAAACGAGTGTGCTGCTTGTGCGAGTGTGATCTGAGGCTTCTGGTGTATCCCCGAGGGCCACCGTGCCTGCCTTCCCGCCTCTGCGCCCCTCTTTTGGCTTTCTGAGCCCACCATTTCCAGGGAGGGGGGTGGAAAGGCAGAATGATCCAGGGCTGCCTGCCTCTGGGAATACCTGTTTCCGTTTGCAAAGCCAAGCAGCCAACCACAGTTGCTGGTCTGGACCTGGAGGTCTTCCAGGGTGGCCTTCTGCTCTACTCGCCCATGAGGGTTTGTTTCCTAACCCAGGGGTCCCCAATTCACCGGGCCGTGGACCGGCACCGGGCCGTGGCATGCCAGCAACCGGTCCGCACAAACAAGCGAAGCCCCATCCGCGGGATGCAGGCAGCACACAAAACCACACGCTCTCCGGTCCGTGGAAAAACCTCTCTCCACGGAACCGGTCCCTGGAGCTAACCCATTTCCCGTCACCTCTGTATCCAGAAATCATTCAGCCATGGACTGATGTATTGAGTTCCTAGAGAAAACTGTAGGCCAATTTGTGCCTGTGCAGAAAAGCCCATCTGTGGGATGCACGGAGAGCGCAGGGAAACGTCATCTACGACCCCCCCAAAGAAGAAATGTTCTAGCCTTGTGACTTTAACCAGGGAAGCGGGGTGGGGGGAGAAGCCGCCCCCGCAGACCTTGACCCGGAAGGTCTGGTCTTGGCAGAAGGCAGCGGTGGGAGCTTCTGTTCCGTTCTCAGGCCAACCTTGGCAGCTGCCCCCGGGACGAGGCCTCCCCGCCTCTGGGTCTGCCCCCTGCCCCAGTCGGGGCAGAGAGACGGATGGGCACCGGTCCCGTTTTCACAGGATGCCAGCGTGGCTGTGGCGACATCAGGCCAGCTGTGCTTTTCTCTCCCTCCTTGTTCAACTCCTGTCTGCGACAGCTGTTAAGAGGGGGAGGGAGGGGGGGGAGAAATCCTAAGTGGGGGCTGTGAAATGAGACTTGAAGGTTGAATATTATCTACAGTTCTGGCAGGCCCCATCAGCCCCGGGGAGGTGTTCACTTCTACCGAGATCAGATGGGATGGTTGCCATCCATCCTCCAGACTCCATCTTGGGGAGGGGGGGGGAAGGATGCAACAATCACCCCCCCCCCCGAGAAAGCCTGCCACCTGCTTTTCTCTTCCTCCCAGGGCTGGGCCGCCTCACCTCCCACCTGCTCCTGCCTTTTGAACCCCAGCAAACTCTTCCTTCCATCTGGCAGCTGCTTTGCAGAAGAGGAGCACCGGCTGTGGGTTGCCCCCTTTTTTCTCCCCCCCTTGCCCACCCCCCCCTCCCCACTTCTGGCCTTTGGCTCCGCAGGGGAAACATAAGTTCTTCCAAAAGGATTGCACTCTGTAGCGGTTATTAAATAACCAACATTCGCATTATAAAAAAATAGGAAGTCACAATTTCTACGGACAGCAAGCTAACCGGGACTGGGGAAATATCAAACTAGGAAAACAGTTCAGCCAAGATGTTTGTCACAGGACAGAAGTAGGATATATATATTTTTTTTAACCAGCTGCTTCGTAACAAGCCTGCTGGCAGCGGCAACTGAGGGATCGGGAACTGTTTGGGCATTCCAGACGCGATTGTACGGGCGGCTTAAGCGGGACAAGGTCTACAGGGTTGTGGCGGAAGGAGGCTCTCCAACAGAGCCGCTGTTAAACCAACTTAAACCAAGGAGGCCCCGGAGAGAGCGTGACCTGGAATCGCCGGCTGCACAAGACCTGGGGGGGGGGGGAGAGAAGCCTTGAGCGCACTAAACATCCAAGCTTCACAATCAGCTGGAAAGTCTGTCACAAGCATTTGGCCCAAAGGAGGTGAAAATCTGGCAAAGGTGCTGACCTCGCGGGATGAATTTGTAACTGGAGGCTGCTCTCCGTTCGATCTTTTGCACCCAAGGCAGGTTTTCGTCAATATTTCCAACAAGGGGGGGGGGCATGCTTAAGCAGTCATCGGGGAAAGCCCTTTAAAGACCCCCCATGCACACCAGAAAAACAGCAACAGTCCCCTGAAGGGAAGGGCAGGCCAACGGTGTGAAGCACAGCACACCTTTGGGCCCTTTTGACAGCCAAGGGGCAGCGTGGTGGGGATAAACAGGTGAATGCTTCCTAAATACCCTGGATGGAAATCTTGACCCTCTAAACCTTGTGAAGGAGCTCCACAGGTGGGCCTGCGGTAAAGGATGTCCTCTCCTCCTCCGGTCTCCTGCCTGGGAGGGTAAGGCCCTAAAAGATTTGGGCCGCGTTCAGAAAATTAGGTTTACAGACTTGGTCGCGTTAGCCCACGGGCGAGATGGAAGCTCAGAACTGGTGGGACGTCACATTCAGATGCCGCCCCGCCGATTCAGGCTCCCTCTCTCCCATTGGGAAGACTGTACGTAGACTAGAAAGCACATTTCTCAGTCAAAAGAGGTTGATAGCGTGAAACCTCAAGCGCTCCTCTGGAGCCCTGGCTTCCAGCACTGCCAGGGAAATGTTTCAACATGAATGAGTGGGACCGGCGCCCACTGGCTCCTGGAGGGCTTCGGAGGGTGTTGCGTTAAATGTAGAAGCCACACGGGGGATAACGTTCATTTGGCAAAGAGTCTCTCCTGCAGGCGTAGTTACTCCTCTGTGGACATTTATAACCGGTCTAAGGGGGGGAAAAAGCTCAGGCTGAGCTTGAACAGCCACCAAAAGGGACAAGAAGAGGTGCGCTGTAATATTTACGCGGCCCTCCTTTTTTTTTTTTTGGCCCCATAAAGAGGCTCTTCCCATCCCAGCCAATCGTTTTGAAGCGAGGGTCCCATCGTCGCTTGCTACTGACATTTCTGGATGTTTATGAAGGGCGATATGGAAGGAATTTTAAATATATATATATGCATATAAAGATTTTCTTTTCTGGGCTCTTTGGTCCCATGTCGTACTTTGGGGAAACTGCAG